TTATGCTCATAATTTTTTAATGTATCACAATGAGCAAGAAACATACTTGATGAAATATTTTCAAAGGAGTATATTCAATTACCATCTACAATCAACTTAACTAGGACAACAAGGTTTTGTGACAAAAGTTTCTTTAAAAGTCTGAAGTTCCATGTGGTTGTATGTATGTTAGTTTCCATGTAATTTGGTACAGTTTGGAAATCTTCATATAATTACAGTAACAAAAAAGCTAACAAGACTACAGTATAGAAAAGACATCAAGAACAACATTTTTGGTTTAACTTGCTCTTTTTTGTACATTGCAAGGCTGTTTTTTTCTACCCTCAGATGGGCTGCCTGGAGCCACAGAGCCATGCTTATGAGGCTCAAAGGAGGAATAATTCAAGGAAACAAAACAAAAAAACAAAACAAAACCAAACTAAAAGCATAAAAAACATTGTGGCACCAGAAGTCACGAAAGGAACAGAGCGCTCCAAGTAACAGTTCATCTTTGAAGTTGGAGCAAATGGTTGTTTGGTTGTTAGTTTGGTTGGTAATTTTGGTTAATATGCTTTTTTAGTGTAACTGCCTCTTTAAGAATGACAGCTTTGAGAACCCATCCCCTCTCTATGTTATCAATTTCTCTATTTAGATTATGTAACAAACACAGAGAGGGGTGAGCCGCCATTTGACTGGACAGCTTTACTTGTCAACCAGAGACAAGCACAACGAAATGAAAAGGGTAGCAATGTGAAGAAGAAGAAATGAAGCAAGCATCTCTGTCCATCCAGTCCTGAAGTTTGGAAAATGTCCATCAAAGAGCAGAAGTGGAGGCAGAGCTGGAAAAAGAAAGAACAGGCAGAAAGGAGAAAGAGGCAGCTGGAGCCACTTAAGTTCAGTTTCATCTAACCACTTTCCTCTGCGTGTCACACATGTCCATTGGTTCCAGAGTCCATTCCCATTACAGAGTTGTCAGTAATCAAATAAGGAGGTGGTTTTTAAAGCTGTTTTGAGCCTGTCTTTGGCTCCCATATGCCCAGTTTTGGTGTGCCGGCAGCCTCTCGCGTCCTCTTAACAAGATCCCCTAAGTTTCCCAGAGTCCTTTTTATTTATTTTCATTCCTTCTTCATCTCAAGACAAAAGTAAAAGCAGAAAAAAAAAGATGTCTTGTTTAAATATATCTATATCTGTATACAGGTACACGTTAGTTTTCACAGTGGGCAAAAGATGACCTCTACAGCAAAACCTTGTCTTTATCTCTCTCCTGTAATTGTCCATCGAAATCAAGTATCCCAATGTAAGTTAGTGGATCCAAGTATCCACACTCGGGTTGTGTGCCACAATAAAATATGCACTCGTCTGGGGCACAAATCTGTTTGTTTTTGTGTCAGCTGCATAAAGCTTTGGCCACATTCATATATTCAATCGAAGTAAAAACTGCTCAGTGCTTCGGTATTATCATCCTCTTTTCTGATTATGTTTTCTCTTAATTGGATTTTCTAATTTAAGTTAGTCAGTATCCAGCTTTGAGGTTCTGTTTATTTGGTGTTTAACATATAACAAAAATAAGAAGGCAAACAAAGAAAAATTGAATTGATGCTGGCTCTCATGAGACACACACACAGACATACACACACACAAACACACAAACACAACGTACAAGCTTCCACACACCATGTCGGCTTCTACTCATGTGGAGACCTTGACTCCGTCGTCCACAAAAGAGCCCAAATGATTATACTTTGGAAACATGGGGACAAACAACATGATTGAGACAATGAATTTTAAGAACATTATCACACCATAAAGTGGCCAGGTCATGCGGTTTTGTTTGTCTCTTAGATTCAGCAATTAAAATTAAAGCTAGTGTTAATTTATAAACACAAAAGTAATATACAAAAAAATAAAATACATGTACTTAGAAGAACATAATAAATGTCTGACACAAACGTATTTGAGAACTGTACAACTTAAGAAGTTCGCAAAACAAGAAAGTACACATGAACAGTGTTCCAGGAAACTGGACTTGAGAATCATCAAGCTTGCTGACATTCAAACAGCATCATGTGGTGTTAACACCGAATCACATTTCTCTGCCAGAAGCACAACGTTTTAACACTTCTGAGATTGTTTGTGCCTTGAATAAAGATGAATATATTGACTATACAAAAGAGGCCAAAAAAAGATGTCTTGGTTTTGGTTTAGGAAATAAAAACTTTTGTTTATCACATCATAAGTGAAAAGGTGGGGGTACCTATACACATCCATTTCCATTGAAAAAAAACAAAAACAAAAAAAAAAATGAAGTAGATGACTTCTTTGGATATGAAAGCATCCTAACTATTTGAAAGCGAGGGGCATCTTCAAAAAACCTCCTACTATTTCCAGAAATAATGCTTTGGAATGAAGACGCCCCTTTCAAAGCCTGTAATCTACGTGTGGAAGTGGCACCCTGCAGACACATGCGACGAGTCACTGGCAGACCTCCCTCGACGGGAAGCAACGACACCTCAGCAAAACAGCCATTAAATCCCTCTGAGACTAGTTGTAGGTTGACTGGCATAAATATCGCTAAACTATGAGACGCATCAGTACCAGATGTATTATATACATTTTTTGGTAACCACTCTTGCTTGCTTAAGGAGAGAGCAACAGCTTCCACTGGATGGAGGGATTCTCAGCAATGTTCCATGCCAGCACAAAATGACACAGAGAGGTCACTTTGTTCAGCAACCAATGATGCAAAAAATGTACACAACAGTTTACAGTCACTTCAAAAATGAGAAAAAAATAGATTGTGACACTTAAAAGCAATTCAATGAGATAGGATCAGTCCTTACTTAAGAAAAATTCATAGTGATATTTGGAATGCACTGTTCTTTACAAACGTTAAAGATCATTGGCTTTAAACATTGGTCTGTTAAAAAAAAGAAGAAAAAAAAGAAAATCGGCAAAATGTCCTTTGGAACAAATATTCACAGTCTTCAAAGTTCCGTTTTTGCAACAAGAAAAAAAAAAAGGGTTGCAGAGGCAAGAAATTGGTTTTATTGTTTGTTTTCGTTAAAGCTTAGCCAAAAGCAAAATGAGCATGCATCTAGGTATTCTTTTTCTTTTTTTCTTTTTTTTCAAAATTCTACATTAGCAGCAAAACATATGTCCTTGAAGACCAGACCTCATACATTTTCTTTAAAAAAAGAAATGGACATTTGAATGTGACAAAAGTCAAACGAATATCAATAACCTCTATCTTACAAACTGCAATGGCTCTGTAACGGTGCTACTCCACAATGCAAGGACAAGGGCCCTTTTTGGTTTTTGGTTTTTACGTAAAAAAGCCACCTGTTTGCCTGCAAAGAAGCAGAAACGGCAACTCTGATGCGTACTCCTTTATCTTTTAAAACTTTGTTTTCTTTCCTCTAAAAACAGCAACAAATTCTCAAGTATAAAGAAGCCTCTTTTCTCATCTTTATGCACCAATGGTGAAAGTGTTTCGTCTTTGGATTTTCTTTTTGTCTTAAAGCGTGAGAATTATTATTAGTATTTCTTTTTTTCATTTCATTTGTGACAAAAAAAAAAAAAAGAGAATGCCGAAACGAAAATAAAGACTGTAGCCACACTACATGAAGAACTAAAAGACCTGCTTTGTAGGACACACATCTACAAACACAGGAGAGCAGAGAAAAATAAGTGCGACGGGAGGAACAAGAAGAGTGACACATAGGAGTCAGACAGTGATAAGTGCACAAAGGTAACACAAAAAATTAAATTAAATAAAACTCTCATTATTTCACCCAGGATCTTTTTGTTTTGGTTTGAGCAATACCAATCAAACCATAAAATTTAAATAATTCTGAACGTGGATCCTGCCTTGTCAGGTGGGGCATTGGGGTGAATGTTTCCCAAGAGGTTGAGGATAAGACAAAATAAGGTTTAGATAAATTACCTGTCCATAATCTAGACTATCGGAATGACCAAGACAACATCAAATGAAGTGTCATAAAATTGGACGATACAAAAGCTAAATGTACACAAAGTTTTTTTTTTCCAACCTACCATACTGTTTAAATTCAGTTCCAATGCAACAATCTACTTAACACCAAAATGTTCATATCTATCATAAATACAGAAGGTTGATTTTGTTTTCATATCAAAAATCTTTTTTATCGCCAGTTATGTCTGCAATGCTCTTCTTGTCAGGGTTTGATGGGATTGTGATTCCCCACAATAAAAGGATTTCAAATAATAAAATCAACAAATCATTTACACTTTCCAAATGCCCAGTAACAATGCCTTATTAAATTTTCATTCAACTTAAAACTTTCTGTGATTAAATCAAGTGCAGAAAAGGAAAGGAAAATTAATGCTCATCTCCTGCTTGAAACAAAAGGTGTAAAACATTGACTTCTATAACAGAAAAAAACATCTGTGAGCTGTTGACCTGAGAATAAAATAGATATTACATTATTCTTTTACTTTTGCAAGCCATTGGTATCTGAATGCTTAAATAGCAAGAAACTGATAGACTATTCTCCCATACAGTACATACTGGCTTTTAGTGACTGTGCTATCATGTAAAACTTATTAAGAAAGAAAGGGACAGCTTGTTTTCTTTAGAAGGGTTCTTGGGCCATTTGTCAACTTCGAGGCAATCCGTTGCCATAAAGTACAGCATTCCTCCACCATTCCCCAAAATGTAAGTGAAGTGACCTTTGATCTTTTTTGTTCTCACATTTTAGTATGCATGTATTTCAACTGAGTAAAAAAAAAACTAAACAGAAAACAAAAACAAAAATGAAAACCAGCATGTTGATATGGGAAAACAATCCACTAACATTTAAATTTTTGGTTACAAGCTTTGGAATTGCAGTTAGTCTTTACACATCTTTTTTCTGAAATTGGTTTGTATACTTTTAATGTATTTTTAACATTGCTGCTTTTTATGTATTTTTTTTTCCCATTTGTGACTTTTTTTTGTCCTTTTCTAAGTGTTTTTTACATATTGTCCATCACTGAAAGCTCTTTTACAATCTGATGGAGTCCGTTCCTACACTAGCAAGGTTACTACTACAACTATTACTGTCTTTGACAAAACCAGGCTGCCGCGGCTCCTCTGCCGTCCTGCCGAGCCTGTCCGCTGACTTCTGACTGCTGTCAGAATCAGACTCGTCGGTAAAGACGTCTGTTGGTATCGAGGTCTGAACTCCTGAGGTGCTCAATGAACTTGAGGTAACCGTTGAAAGTGAGGACACTGGAGGAAAAGAGGAAGAGGAGGAGGGACTAGCGTTGGGCTTCCCAGCTAAAGCTCTAGAGAAAGGGGCCTGGGGCCAGGGTTTGCCGGCAGCTGTGGTACTGAGTGGGGCCACAGAGGAGGAGCACAGGGAAGAGGACACAGCAGAGGATGGCATGGTGGCTGATGTTGTTGGCAGGGGCGGGGGGCTGCTGATGGGATGAGTGGCAGACTGCGAGGTAGATGCGGTGTTAGGATTGGGGAAGCAGGCTGAAGAGTGAGGTAATAAACTAGTATCGTGCTCTTTGGCATTTCTGACGGATCGCTTGATTGTTCTGTGTTTGTGCAATGCCGATTCCAGGTGTTGACTGAGTGCTTTCTCCCCATCCAACGTGGTGTCACAGGCCAGGCAGTCATAGAGACTTCCGGCCCCCACACCTACACCACTGGGGACACGCAGCAACATCTCTTGCAGGTTTGCCACAGACTGACCGAAAAAACAGTTAGATTTAAGGTGGGTAATAGCCGCTTCTTCCTTGGTGAAAACAGCCTGACACTTGCGGCATGCCAGTTTATACTGCACTTTGGGGACGATATACTGGTCTAGGTGGGAATCTACAACTTTGCCATCCATCTCGTTCTGCTCGGGGGGAACTTTATTATGAGAGGAAGAGGAGGTCGTGGAGGAGGAGGTGGGAGTGGGGGGGTCGCAATGGGGGTTGCCCTTTTGCTCCTCTTTTTTAACTGAATCTTTGGCAGAGTCTTTGCCCAAGGTTTGAGGGGGGACTGGAGTTTGGCTCGCCTTGGGTTGCTGGATCTGCTGAAGCTGCCGCTGCTGCTGCTGTAGTGCCTCCTGCAAGCTCTGCTGATATTGCTGGTAATGCTGCAGTAGGGACCCTGGGGACAGGCCCATCAGTGCTTGTGACAATGCTGGGTTATAAGGGAAGAGGCTTTCCATACCATACATAGGTTGAAGATAGCCCCCTTGGAGGGCCCCAGGGATCTGTGGGGTGTAATAAGGGGAAAAGCCGGGCATGAAGTAGGGTAGAAATTGGTTTGTGAGGAGAGCTGTGGGGTCTGATGCCAGAGCAGCCTGCAGAGCCTGGAGCTGGGCAGGATCTACCACATACTCCATGCCGGGTGTAGGCATAGAGGTGGCGGGGACAGCTGTGTCCGGTTTCTCCTTTTTCGCGCTGGCAGCCGAGGTGGAAGGTGCCGGGGTGCCTCCAGTTGAAGATGGGGTTGAGGGCTTCTCCGCCTTTTCCCTGGCCGTCTCCTTTTCCTTCTCTTTTCCCCTATCAGTATCACGCTCTTTGGGGGGTTCAGGTCGTGAGCCAGACTGGGTGGTTGAGGAACTGGAGGATGATGTAGGGGTGGGGCTTGAGTGGGAAGTAGATGTGTTTGTCTGAGCTGGGCTGGATGCGGCAAGCGATGATGAGGAGGGAGGCTTGTTGGGCAATCCAGACGTGGGCAGGCTTGGTGAGGGTACACTGGCACCAGGCATGTTCAGGAGGTTTGAAGGTTTGGGAGGAGTTAAAGCTGGAAATGTATAAAATAAAGACATACATTTATGAGTTAGTTAATATATTTCCATTTTTACACTTGAGACATATTGAAAATAAAAAAAATAAACACAAGAGGTACGATAATAAGCAGCTATTACTTTTCAAGTCAGAATAAGTTAGAAAAAGGCAATGATACAAATCTTCTCTGCAAGTATATAGTTTGTTGACCTTTAAAATTCTTTAACAACAGATTTTGTACCAACTACTATTAGCACGAATAGATGATTTTCAAATTCAACTGAATTTATTCAGCTGAAAAACAAATTTGAAACTGCACACTTGAAATTTCAACAAAACATCAGTAAATAAATGCCAAATGATGATGTACCTGAATTAGACGAGTTAAAGCTGGAAAGAGAGGGGCTTCCAACTCCTGGCAATAGCACAGGTGGGATGCCCTGTAGATTTGGATAGGCCGACTGGAGATTCAGAGCCTGCATTGCAGGGTTATCGAACATCCCTTGCTGTTGCATGGCCTGCTGCTGTGCCAGTCCCAGCACTTCATTGGCCTTCTTGATACGGTCCATCTCTTGCTGGGCCATGAGTTGGCGAACAGTAGCTGGGTCGAAGTATTCTTTTTCCTTATCGATCTGGCTACCGATGGTATCCTTCACCTTAGAGATGTGTTGCTGGGAGAATATGTGATCGCGAACAGAGAGGCGAGCACTATACTTGACCCCACACAATGTGCATTCTGTCTTCGGCCCCTCATAAGATGTCTGATTTATACCGAAGTGCTTTGCCATGTTGAGCTTAGCCTTTTTTTCCTTGGCACGGGCATTTTGGAACCACACCTGAACCACTCTCTTTGGAAGTCCAATATCATTTCCAAGTACCTCACATTCCAGCATAGTGGGCGTCCTGTAGTCATTAAAACAAGATTTCAACACTTTCAGCTGGAGGTTCGTCATTTGAGTTCGGAAGCGTTTTTGGCCAGGCCGGTCCCCACTGTCGATGCTTCTGGTACCTGAGGCTCCAGGGCTCGGTGAACAAGGGTCTGCAAGGCTAGATGTCTCACTGTGGTCAATCATATGTTCATTTTCATAGTCTTTAGCATAATAGCTTGTTGCAGGACTTACAAGCCCCGAGGACATTTGGTCATCATTTTCAAGGAGGGGAGCTGTGCCTCCAGACTTAGACAGGTAATCACCACTATGCTGGCTGTGCTTTGCATCAGCACTGTCATTATCAGCATTGGCCTCATCACCTGTTGTTGTGTCTGTGATGGCCGTATTCACAGAGGAGCAGTCGTCATTATCCAACTTGTTCGGATCATAGCTGAGGTTCACGGACGACATGGTTGCACCCTCAAAATCTTCCATTCCTTCAACCTTGATAGATGAGGGGCTCAGTAGACCCCTGGGAGACAAATCCATACTTTTGTTCACAGGTGACATGGAGGAGCTCTGCCCGTCGCTGTTTGTTGAAGGGGCTAGGTGGGAGTAACCCGATGTATCCAGAGCATCCATTTTCATTTGCATGCTCTCCTGCTCAGGTAACATACCAGTGAGGGTCAGATTATACCCAGCACGTTTGGCTTCATGCCAGTGACGAGACCGAATGTGAGCCTCAAGTGCGGTTTTCGCTTTAAAAAGAGCTCGACAAAAAGGGCACCTACGATGAGCTTGAGCTGGCCCGACTGCCCTAAACTGTCCTTTTCTCTCTCTAGCTCTAGTATTCTGAAACCAGACTTGCACGACTCTCTTCTTTAATCCCACCTCATGAGCAATGTGGTCGAGCATTTTACGAGTGGGATTTGAATCTAACAAATACTTCTGATAAAGGATCTCTAGCTGCTCAGGTGTGATGGTGGTCCTGAGACGCTTGTCTCTCTGAGGCTCCTCTCCGCTATTGGTGCTGTCATTCTCTCCTGGGCTTGTATTAGCTTTTTCCTCCAGCTTCCTCTTCAGGGAATTCATGGTGGAGGTCGGGGTGGATGGAGAAGTGGCAGAGCTGCTGGGAATCTGTGGCATTGCTCCAGAGAGAAGCTGGCTTGCCAGGAGAGGATTGCTGGGATCGAACAGCATGAACGGCATGTCAATTGGACGATCAAGGAATTGTGGGTGAATGAACTGATTTTGCACAGAGAGGAAGTGTAATTGCTGGTGTTCCTGCCAGTGCTCAAAAGAGGGGAATGCTATCTTGCACTGCTCACACTGGTATGGGATCATTTGTTGTGCTAGCTGCTGTGTGGCAGAGGTCAGGTGTGGATTTAGGCCCATGTGAGAGCTTTGTGATGAGGCTTGGCTTGTCTGAGAGGCTGAGGGACCACACTGTTGCTGTTGCTGAGAGAAGGAGGGAGACGAAAGTTTGATGGGCTTAGAGACGTTTTGGACCTTTTCCTCTCTCTGTGATCTATGATGTTGCGTCTCAGATTGGGCTTGGTGCACAATCTCCTGCTTAATTGAAGTTTGGTTCTCTCGTGGATCAGCAGACATGTCTGGTAATTGCTTGGGCTTCTCATTGTAGACGTTTGAGGTGGTTGCTGGTGACGCTTCCTCTTTCTCATTAGCTGAGAGGTGTGCAAATGCTGAAGAGGAGGGTGGAAGTGGGCAGAGACTGGAGGAGGAGGGCATTGGTGTGTGACAGGAAGACCCAGAGGGAGTGTAACAATCGTGAGAAAGATCCAGTGAATCCTCATTTTGGCTGTCATATTGCCCGTCCTCATCTTCATCTTTGTAACACAGCTTCTTTTGGTGTTTTATTAGATCAAAAATCCGCTGAAATACCAGACTACATTTCTTGCACTGGTAGTTCAGATTTGATGTGCGAATATATCGGTCATTTGACAGTTCTCTTCTCTCACCATCTTTCCCTCCCTCGCCTTGATTTTCATAATTCTTTCTTGCCTTCTGGCGGGCGTTTTGGAACCATACAACAATGACACGAGTGGGAAGGCTCAAAAGGTTGGAGAGCTGCTCAAATTCATCATCTTTAGGATAAGCATTGGCATCAAAGAAGTCCTGTAAGACTCTCAGCTGGTAGTCTGTAAACCTGGTCCTGGAGGACCTCTTGCTTCCATAGAATTCTTGCTTTTGAGGTTCAGGGGAAGGAGGTTTTGAATCTATCTTTACGTCCTCCAGAGTAGTCGTGGGGGGATTATTGAAGTTGTAAGGCGAGTCTTTGTTGCGCTGCCTTTCCTTGAACAGGGTGTTTCTGAACCAGTGCTTTATCACCTTTTGTGGCAGACCAGACTTGTCAGCCATCTCTTTGATCTGTTCCTCATTTGGTGAATTGTTGATATCAAAGTATTGCCGCAGGACCCTCAGCTGATCGTCTGTGATGCGTGTCCGTGGTCTCTTGTTCTGCTGTTGCTGTAGCATGGCTGGCGTAAGCTGTTGTTGATAGAGCTGGGCCAGGTCTGACGCTAGGCTTGGCTCAACAGATGACATCTGAGGAGGCAGCTGATTTGGTAAGGACTGTAGAGACATGGGCTGCATCATAAGCGGCGAGAAGAGGGGCAAATCCATTGGCATGGGTATTTGCGTCATAGTAACTGGCGGCTGTGGGGTAGGTACAGTTGGGGGTGTAAGCGAAGCAGCAGAGACTGGAATATTTGGTGTCGGAGCTCTTTGGGGTGGTGGAGGGGGTGGAGGCGGGGGAGGAGGTGGTGGAGGAGCTGCAGCAGCCTCTGGTGTCGGGGGTCTCAGTGGATACAGTTTATCGTAATGCTCTCTGTATTCCTTTGCAAATCTCTCGAGGGATCGGAATGGAAAGAAGGCCTGGTGGATATGCTCCTGGTGACTCTTTAGAATCAGTATGTTTGAAAACAACTTGCCACAGGCTTCACATTCCAGTTTTTCTAATCCCTCAATGGGATCCACCACCCTCGCTATTCCACCTGCACCAGTTGATCCAGTACTTCCAGCTGTCTTTTTCTGAGCTTTCTGTTTATTTTCATTGTACTGAATTACTAACTCAAATCCAAAATTTTCCAGCAAGGCTTTAGTTGCATTTCCTCGAGCATCTGAAGCTATCCTGGGTGGAGGCAAACCACTGTCTTGGCTAATGTTTATCGAAATATGCTGAATATCCTTCTTTTCTTTTGGTTTGATGTCAGCAGAATCTTTGTTTACGTAATCCTCATTTTTTTCAGCTGCATCCTTTTCCTTTTGCATCTCTCTATCCTTGTCGTTCTGAGACAGTTTCTGCTTTTTTTCAGCTTGCTGGAGGAGAGATGCACTCTGCTGCAGAAGTGCCATTTGGCTTTGAGCCTGTGAGTGAGACTGTTGCTGCTGCTGCTGCTGCTGTTGGTGCTGCTGTTGAAGATGGTGGTGCATCAACTGCTGCTGCAAGCAACTCTGCTGGGCAGAGTTTTTAAGGTCTTCCAACAGAGAGGAGGTTGAGGATCCAGGTAGGCCAAGTGCTGCGCTGCTGAGGTTGATCTCTGGGTTCAACTGAAATTCGGCTCCAGGGATGTAGAATGGGAAAAGCAACTGCTGCTGTTGCAGGGGTAAAAGTGCATCAGTTGTCATCGGGAAGTGCTGCAGAAGTGCTGGATTGAATAGCTGTGATTGTAAAAGAGCAGCCTGCTGCTGAAGCTCTTGCTGAAGCTGGGCTTGAGCTTGGGCTTGAGCCTGAGCCAACTGCTGCTGCTGCTGGAGCTGCTGCTGCTGTTGTTGTCCCCTAGCGGAGAGAATCTCTGCAAATTTAGACTTTTTTGCCTCATGGTTATCGGATGGTGAGGAATGGCAACTTGCCGAAGAATTACCCAAACTTTCAGTGCCAGACGACTGATTCATGTGGTTTCCTCTAAGAATACTCTGAGCTGACTGAGAGCTAGATGAACTGTGGTTGGCAGAGCTAGTAGCTGTGTTGCTGGCTGGGCTTGGACTAGATGTTGAAGTTCGCATACTGGAGCCTACACTACCAGTAGCACTTGCAGAGCTTGTAATTCCTCCTGCTGCCTCAAGTTTGGCCGCCCTAGCTTTGGTCTGGTGTAGGACAGAGCGCATGTGTATTTCTAGAGTAGAACTTTGGCTATATGCCACATTACAAGTGCTACACTTGAATGGCTTGTTGTCAGGGCTGCTGGTAGGCTCAGGCTGGCCGGTCGTAGACTCCTGAAGTGCCCTCTTCACCTTGTGCAGATGGGAGACAGAGTTATAGTGAACCAGAAGAATGTTCTTTTGTGTAAAAGACTCTTTGCATACAGTACACTTGAAAGGTCGAGACGGATCCAAGAACTTTTCCATTGTAAAGTTGGGGCCCTTTCGGAATGGCAAAGCACGTTTAGGTTCAGCTCCAGAATCTTCCTGCAGTGAGCCGGAATCGCTGCCTGTTGGACTTTGTTTTTCCTCTGGGTCACTGTCATCTCCTTCTTTGTCGTCTTCTCCCAGACTGCCATGCTCCTCACCAAGAGTTGGATCACCCATTACCATAATATCCCCATTCATCAATAATCCCCCATAAAGCTGCTGGATATCAGCCTCACTCAGCTCCAAGTGGCTAGTTTCCAGATGCTTCTTCAGGGCTTGTAGTGTTCTGAAGCTCCGCTGACAGAGGCAGCACATGGTAGCTGCCCTGATCACGTGGTACTGTGAATGGAGCTGCAACTTTTCCACTGTCTTGAAGGCCAGGCTGCACTGGTTACACCTGTATTTGTAGACATGGCGATCTGAAACAGGCAACTGGGGCCTTTTGTTGTGAACTTCATTGAAGTGCATTTGGAGAGAGTTAGAGGATTTGAAAACTTGATTACAGCCTTTCTTCCAGCACAGAAATCCAGTGGCATCATCTTTTTCTGACTGCTGTTCCTCCAGTGGTGACTTGCGAGCTTCAGCTATGTCTGTGGGGAGGGCCGCCCCTTTCTCTGGATCAGCATCGGATGCATCTGTAAATTAATCAGTGAAAAAAGAGCTATTCAACGGGTTCATTCTCCTTTTTGCCTAGCCAATTCATTTAATTTTATTTAAGTATTTTTCAATAATGGTCAGAGATACATTTGGTAAGTACATTTAGGGATAGAGAAGAAATGATTGAGACAACCAGATATTCATAGGCCCTTGTTTATAGTGAGGGCCAAAACATAAAAGATGCCAACTTTGGTTACTCTAAATATTGTGAAATAAAAATGACAGTTCTGAAACTCAGATACCAACCGGCTTGCTTCTTTGTATCTTCAAAGTTAGAGTTGGCCGTGGCAAGCGGGGTGCTCTGGGACTCTCTGGACTCTGGACTTGGCACTGGTATAAACATACTTGCTGGTAATACCTCTGTTGCTGTTACCTGTGAAAGAAAAAAATAAATTTGTTAACAAGCTTATTGAGAGGTAAACTGTGTTTAAACAACTTATCAAAAAGACAGAAACGTATGTAACATAACCTTAACATAGGGGTTAGACCATTCAGAGATGTATATTGCAGCAATAAAGTTTTTACATGGTGATGACAAATCAGTTCTATCAATGCCAGTTAAATGTGAAATGGTTTTGGTTGATATTATTCTGTAAATTGGTCCTGGATAAAATCAGAATCACACACACTTTTCAACACATTTTGAACTAGTGGAGTATTTAAACTGTTGACAGTTAGCGTAGATCAAAAAGTACATCAGCCAACAACCATCTGCTTATTACAGTTGCTCCTTGCCAGCTTGTTAATTCCCCCCCCTGGTTGGCTCTTTTAAAACTCAAAGCATGATAATGAATCAAACAGCTCATAACACATTCAAAGTTTCAGTTTAAAGAATGAGCTAAAAGTATAAAAAGTCTAAGCGGAATGTTATATTCTTTGGTTAACCATTTTGTGTTCCGCATGCTTTTTAATGGCTCCTTAAAAAAACGGAAAACTGAAAGTATTTAAGCAGGTCATGTAGCCTGCAAGCTAGAGCAAAACTGATCAAAATCCCACAAAAGGAAGAGGCAAATCAAAGTTAATGAGAACACATGACTAAATCATAAACTGTACACTCTTTGTGCAAATCCACTAGAGCAAATAAAATTCAAAATCAGCAAATCCATTTCAATTCCATACAAATAAACAAAATCAGTATGGAAATCAACATAACATCCCATAAAAAGAACATGGTTTATGTTCAAAAGAGGACTTTCTGACCAATTGCGTCATTAGGTGAAAGAGAGAGTATCCCAAGGTCACTTTTAATTCAGACTCCCTAATTGGCAAACATGGTTCAAAATGGCTATCATCCAAGCAGACTCAAAATTAATGAAGCACAATTATTTTCATTACCCCTATCTTACTCAGACAGAAAATGAGACATTGAATGAGGGAAGGAGGGCGGTTCAAGTTTATATATAATATATTTACACCCTCTGTTACCCGCACTCTCTGCACTGCATATGAGGTGGGCATGAAGTGGAAAGAGAAAGAGAATCTGCAGAGCAGATATGACGGGCGGATGATGGGATAGACGTTGGAAGAGTGAACGCATCATTATGCACATTCGGTATGAAATAAAAGTCACCTATTTCTGAATTAATTAAGATCCTCCATGTAGACCTGTGAAAAGGATAAAGCACCCTTTCATCTGCATTCAGTTGTAAAAAGGTGCCGGCTTCAATGTGTGTTATATTACCTCTGTTCTATCTCCTCTTGTAGTGGTTTAGTACATTACTACCTCTATAAAAGAAATAAATATTGCCATCTACCATACTAATGTGCTTGCCATTTACTTTCTAGATGGGGGGTGAAGATGGGTAGGCAGGAGGAAGAGCAATGTTTTATTCGGTGATTGTCCAGCAAGCTAAATAGCCTCACAGGATAGAACAAAGATTTGCTCAATGATTTACACAAAAGAGGGGAATATAAAATTTTATCTCTCCTTGATGGGCATTAAAGGAAGCAAAAGGAGTTTCTCTCTTGGTAGAAGAAGGTGCCCCAGTGCACTGCAGCAGATATAAATTTCGAGTCGCTGATGACTCAAGTCACAAACAACACAAATGTAGCCTCTTATTTACTTTATGAGCAGTGTGATGCCATCATTTGAACATTTTGTTTTCCGTATGTGTCTCATTTAATTGAATAACTGTAAAACAGCTTCTCTCAAAGAAATCTCAAAGACAGGAATTCAATTAAGATGTGTCACCGTTATTGTTTTAACCATTGTCACAAAATACTTTGTTTTGACTGGCGGACAAGTGAAGACACAACATTTGTGCATATTTGTACTTAAAAAAAAGTGACTAATTAAAAAAAAGATTTAAAAGTCACTCCGCTCGCGAGCGCAGGAAGACAATGAAAAAGAGGGGGATAAACATATATATATATATATATATATAGAGAGAGAATCTAACCCTTTTCACGAAGCCTGAAGCGATTTCACAATTAACAGCTTCCTTTGTGTTTTATACAAGGGATGAATGCTGGCAATTTAAAGCTGTGAATGCAGGAGCGACAATTATTCTCACAGGCAGGTAGCTCCTGCAGTCTGAGGCATTCATTAGGAGTGAGTTACTCATCCTCTTGACATTGCTGAATGCTCACACTGGTCCTTGACCTGACCCAAAGCCTGAAATATGATTGGCTATGATGTGCTTGAGGAGCAATGCAGGGCGGATAGCACATGGCATGAGCTTTTGGTTTGCTGTGGTTTGTGAAGAAAGGACATATGAGAAACTGGTACAAAACTAAGATTGATTTATGATTTTGATTATATCTATGTCTTGTAGTCTAGTAATAGTAATTGTCTAGTAATACTAGTTTAACGACTGTATTTGCAGGCTTGTTATTGCAATAAATAGGAATATAGAAAATATGGAACATAACAAGAATCTTAATTTTCTTCCTGTTATGCAAAAAAACAATACAATTCTTAACTAAGTTGTCATGTGTTGAAAACTGGTTGAAGTACTAGACTGAAAATTACCACAAAAAAATATATCGTTCAAGACCACTTAAGAGAAGACCTCTTTTGAAAATATATTTTTTTTTTTACAAAAACAAGCTTTGGCTCAAGATTTGCATCGTGCTGGATCCAACATTCTATATAACAGACATTAATTTCGGACTTACAGTTGCGATGAGCTTGTCAACGCAGTCGGGTGCCACACTATGAAGGTGTGTGAGGTGGAACTGCAGATGGATCTTGTTGTTGAGCATGTCCTGGCACAGAGGGCAGCGCAGCATCGGCTGAACAGAGTGCTGCGTCATCACGTGCATTCTCAGGCGGTTCAGGTCCGTGTTGGTGAACTTGCAGTAGGGGCACTGGTACATCTGGCAGACACAAGACCACAAAAAGAGAGGGATGGGGGAATTTTCAGAGTTAACAACATGATATAGGTAGGTGTACTGAGCATGGTGGGCTTGCCGAAAAGAGAAACTACACAGGAATCTATGGCCCACCCCTTCTCCCAGAGAAGTAGATTCATCTGATTACAGATGTGTGTTACATTGAGTACCACTGAGTTTTGAAACCCACTTCTAAGGGCTCTCATCTGTCAAATGCTGCATTGATTTTCCACCTTAAACATTATTAGCAGTGATATGACAGAAAAAAACCCAATAATTTAAAGGACATTTGAAAAGAATATATATATATGACTAAAAAAATTAAGAAGGATAAATAAGGAATTGAACATAATTAGAATTAAGACGTTTAAGTTTAGACGAATAACAAGGGCTTGGTCATTGGTGGCAAGGTAACCTTCAGCAAATAACCCGTTAGTTTAAAAATAAGCAAGATTTTTATGAACATCAGAGTGCATCAAGGTTCACAAAACTGTGTAGTGTGTGTGATTCACCTGCTCTCCAGCCCCTTTTTCAGCTGTCCTGGGACGCTTAGAGGAAAGTGGACTCTCTGAGGTCTCTGAGCGTGAAGAGGGCCTTTTGGAAGGAATAGGTGAATCCGACTGGTGCCGTTCCGAATGGCTGGACAAAGCTGGATGCATTCACACAGACACAGACAAACGTGGAAGGATGGAGGAAAGAGAGCAGACATGTCAAGAGAGGGTTGTGGCTCGACAGGCTGAGAACAGGTCAATCAATATTACTGTGGATAAAGGGCTTTGGAATGTCTTTCTTAAATGTGACATAAGTGCATTTAATGGGAGTTACGCTGTGAAAGTGCTGTTATCCACCTTGCACCTCTGCATAAAAAAAGAAAACACACACAGCCTTTTCACTTGTCCTCCGCTAGGGCTGGGCGAACCAAAGCGTTGCGATGGGTCCGTTTCTGCTTGCCTCAATGACTGATAACACCATGAAACACTAAAATACGTGTTCGTTTGACAGAAGGTTTGGATTTGAAATTTTTTATCCAAATGAATTTCTGAACTTGGGACTGGGTATCCAAACATGTGGTTTTATAAACAGTTAATAGCCTTAATCCATCCCAACGTTACTTTTTTTTGGTAAGTTTTTTTTAACTTATGGATTTAATCAGGCAAACAATGAAGTCAATTAACACAATCATTTTCAAAAGCACATGCATTCTGCAGGGTCTGTTTAAATCCAACCTTTTATCCTAACACTAAGACTAAAAGACAAAGGTTTGAAACAATATCTGGAAGGTTTGCTTGTCACAGTAACCTCCTAAGAGGTTACATTCAGATATTGCAATAGATAATCAGTACCAAGAGCCGCTTAAGAAAAATCTAATAAAAGAAACCATGACATTTCTTTTCATTTAAAGGAGGACAAAATGTTTTTGTCAAAATGCAGCTAACACATTTCCAATTCATTGTTTTTTCATAACATGAATGCCAGCAAAATCTCTTTCTCTGAGTTATTCAATGCTTTGTCGTTCCGACTAAATTAGAACAAAAGACAAACAGCACTGATAGATCATAAAATCTTTTCTCAAGCCTCTGAGCTAATATCAATACGTCCTCAGTGCAAGTTCAGATATAACAGAAGCTTTCACTCAACTCTAAAGATCCTGAGAACTTTATAAACATGCTATTGGACTCAATGATGGATCAGTGAGATTTTAAAACTGTGCTTTGCTGCTTAGTCAGTCGTAGTGTATGAAAAACTGCTACAATCCCTTACTGGTGAGAGCCAGGGGGTCCCACCTGACTCAGGCACCAAATGGCAATGCAAACAATGCTGATTTTACTAAATAACATGTTTCTCTGCTCTTATGTGTACTGGGCAAAGCCTCACATAAAAGCACCTGTATGCCACTTCAAAACTACTCGACTTCAGAGAGGAAAAGACACACTACAGGTAGCACACAGAGGTCAGGCACATTGCCATGTTTTCACATGAGGGGCTGAAGCCACACAGTGCATGAATGGGGGAGCTGCAGAGGGACCTTTCTTTGTCAGCAATGAAACTCACTGTGAAACTTAAGGAGGTGTCTTGCAAAACCTTAACAAGCCTGTAAAGAGTTAAATTTGGCCTGATTTGTACAGTTCTGGTGGGGCAAATTGAGAACAGAGGGCACAGGTAGCGGAGGGGTGATAAGGCAGGGGGTCAGGTTAAACAGGGCTGACCACGCTCCTGCTCCAGACATTAAAATGTCAGCTCCAATCAGGACGAGGGCAGTTGAGCCGATTACCCAGTGGGGGAGCCTGGCTTTGGACAGAGCAGCTTGCAAGATCTCCCAGAGACACAGGGATCAGCCAGCTAGACCCTATTAGGGTCCAGTCAAAGCCAATCCTATTAAACACATCCACCAATAAACAAAGGGAATGTTAAACAAAAGGAACCTCCCATTCCCAAACATTAACCTCTCAGTCATGGCACTGTCCTCGCCAATTCATCCTCTTACTCCATTTCAATCCACTTTTACTTCCCCATGAACTCTGAACTCATCTCTAAAGGAAAACAAGAGCAATCATCTGTGGTTACTTTAGCAATGAATTACAATGAGGCATTTTTTAAAGTTTCTGACTGAATTCCATTAAACAATGATAATAATTCTTCCCTACAGACACACTGGTGCCTAGTTTAGCTACTACAATCCTTATCATAGTAAAGAGATATCATCTCAGTAACTGGCCTTTTCTTTCCTCCTTCAACAGCTCATTATTTCAACAGGCAGCTTCTTGACTATAATTAACATTACCACCCATAAGGTAAAGACGGATAACTTCTCCCCTGGCAATTGTACAAGGACTGAGAAAGAAACAAATATGCCTTCTAATAAATAATTGATCTCTGTAATTGCTTTTTTTTTTTTACATGGGATTACTTCTGTAACCAAGGGTGAGGTTAAGTGTGAAAAAGTACAGTTAAATCTGAGCCATAAAACATGCAAATACAGCCCGGAAAGTAAGCATGGATTACTGTAAGTATCAAGTATCCTCTCAGCCTCATGATTAAGAGAATAAACGCAATGATTATACTTTGGCAGCTGCTCAATTAGCACAAGAGAGGTGGAACAAGTGCCTGTTTATGCTAAAGCACTGCAAAGCCTCTGTTAAAAGGCCCCAAACCTGTTCTTCTGTCAGGTGCTTTATGTTTAAGTGTGGGTGGGAGAAAGTGTGCAAGGCGAGGACAGATGGAGGGCTGCAGAGGCTTACTCTGGCTCAGTTTATCTCGTCACGGCCAATTAGAACTCCATAAATCTGATCAATCACGTTCCGTTAAGGAAAGTTCACTCCGACACCATCACCGACACCATGACTAACATCCAACTACTGTATCCTATTTTTTCCTGTCAAAGGTGATGAAAACACAACAACGGGAACGCCGGCAAGCTAGGAATGAAATAATAGAAAGTTAAAGGGTATTTCTTTTCCTTTTTTTTTTAGCTCTATATGTACAACAGCGCTGTCCATCTTGGATTTGCACACATGGACTGACAACAGAAGGAAACGTTCATAGCCGATAATCAAAATATGGCATATCGGCCACATCACAGGACAAATTTGTTGTCAAAAATGAAAATAGATGTTTTAAATGTCAGCAGCTGACAACCTCGGTGATAGTGTTTGACTAGATACAGAGATAAAATACATCTGTACTCTGGTATGGGTTGGCAGACAATTTTCTCCAAGTAGCAACATTCACGCTTCAGTGCATGTGGGAGTCCTTGCATAAGCTTTGCGTAGCAGAATGGAACCATACAGGAAAAAAAAGAAAAACTTGAAAAGTGGCATTGATTTCTTTTTTTTTTTAAAGAAGAGAAAGAAAAAGTTTTATTGTGGCCATCACTGCAGAGTCACTCTTAGAGTTTCATCGAATCAAATTGGACTGAATGATTTAGTGTGACTTTTAAGAGCTTTAAAAAGCATTACAGTGGTATAAACTTTAGTATGTTTCTGCATTAAACCGCAGTGGTCGGCTGACTCATGGTGGCCTCTACCAGGGACCGTAATGTCTTTTCAGGACTTGTCTCTTACCCCCGCCCCACTTGCTGGTCATTAAGCACAGAGCCCCCATCCTCAACAAACGTCTTCTGACAGATACATAGGGCTGGGTTTTGTGTGAAAGCACAAAGGCCAAAGTAAGAGTGGAGAAGGAAAAAAAAACACACGAGTCAATTAGATGATTATTAATTCATGCCCCTTTTCCGTAAACCATCGGCTTTTCTGCCGTCGAGTCCCGTAAGTGAATTGGACTTTGGCACCTTGTCTCTGTCTCGCAGCTGCACTGTATTATTCAAGCAGCAAAGGGACTGTGAGTGTTCTGCTCCGGTCTCGGGAGCAATCCTTGCAGCCTTGTTGTGCTTTCAAGGGGAAAAAGATGGCCACTGGACAGAGAGATTGACATAGCCCTGGCTGGATTAACCCCAGTAGGTCATCTGCCATTGAGATCTTCCAGGAGTGCAAAATCACATTTGCCCTTTATCTACATCCGTGGGAGAGGTTATCCATATTCTAAAAATGACGGTAAACAGTGTGCCAGAATGTGGAGGATGGAAAGTGATTGCTTTTGTTTTTCCAAAAGGAATTTCCCTCCCTCCCTCCTTTTTTTATTTATTCATTTGTTTACAAAATATGAGGTGTTCATCATCTCCAGAGATTCCCCTGCCTCATTAAAACAGTTCCTGTCATGCCATGGCTGCTTCAGGCCCCAGTTGTAAAAACCATAAGCTAGCATGCGCTCTGTCCATGCCAGTGAGGCCGAAAAACTTTACCTTAACCCGGCTTAGAACAGATGTCGTCTGACAGTCATGTTCAACTTTAGCTTAACTCGCTATCCTCACATGTCGTGAAATCTAAGGATCTCTGTGTTGCTTTCTCTAAAAAGTCTGTTCACTGGGCCCAGAGTCCCAAAAACCTCTCACCCTCTCTGCTGGGATCTTCCGCTCTGCTTCCTGCACTGTGGAAAATCCTCATCTCTATTCCCTTGCTAAACTGGCCATCAATATGGAGATAATTCAACTCCCCCCAGTGCGGCAAGTCATTTTTTTTTCAGTGCTATGTTAACAATACCTGAATATTGTCTTTTCCTGATTCCATTTCTATTCAGTTTTTTAATCTACAACCTGTCAGCCCAGAGCAATAAAGGGCCATGCTCCATCTTATCAAATATATCTGAAGTAATTACTCTGCTTTAAAAAAAAATATAGTACAAATAGATCTTCAACTGGTAAGATGTGACAGAAAAACAAATATTATAGTATAGACTCTATAAGTATGACTGGCTGAATGATGACTTTTGCAGCCAAAATGAAGCAATGAAGTTGTTACTAATGTGTAGGCTGCATTGAACAAAAGGGTGACAAGTTATTCCCCTTTGCAGGACACAGCTCTAGGGCTTGGCTGCTAAAAACCCTGTGGTAAAACTCATAAACACTGGGCTTTCAGGGAGGTGCCTCACAAACAAGGACAATTTATGGCCTATTATCTTCAAAGACAAAAGGAATTATAATTTGACAAATGGCAAAGCTTCTAAGGACGTGACGTGAATATGTAAACATCTTCCCTGCTTAGGGTTTAAAGGCATCAACAAATCACCCCTGCACCGAATAGCACGCAGCTTAAAGAAACAATAACATAAACCTGCATAATTTAATTAAAGCTTAGGCATGCAATTTCACATTTCGACTGAACTAAAATTAAATCTGCAAATCTGCACTGTTTTATTGAGGGCAATTGACAATATTTGCTGTGTGTGTTTCTGAATGGGCCTCTGCGAAAGACTGATCGTATTAAGCAGAGCAACAGAGAATGAGCAGGCTGCAATTCCACAGTCCTGCGTCTAGGGGATGCTAATCATCTGGTTCGTTATACAGATTATGTTCAGCAGCCACAGTGTAAAACACATCTGCTTCTTATTCCGACCGAACACATGTGTTTGTTAAAACCTAATCAACAAAAATACACCTGTCTTTATTGGCAGCAAACCTCCCTGTGGATGCTCAGTCTTCATTAAGACTGCTTCTTAGGTTTAGCTTTAATCAATGCTGTAGAACTTTGGGAGAAATGGCTGTAAAAAAAAAATAGGGTGAAAAAAAAAAGTCAAAATAGTTTAGGTATGTTCAGGTATAATCAATTAGCTGCAACAACAAAATATCTGTATGAAAAAGCATGGTTTTATCCACTACAATCAAATTACAGCTATATGGGCCACAAAAACATGTTATTTTTATCTTTCAGAAGTAAATGTCCTGTAAATACCGTTTGGCACAGTTAATTGAGCGCTAAATTTGAACCTGTGTCACTTTTAATTAGTGCTCAACGAAACTATGTCAAAACACACCTACACACTCAGCCTAACAATGGTTCCAGGCAGACTGAATTGGCAAGGTTGAAAATGAATGTTGCAGTTTGATACAGAGATGTGCAAAACTACAACAAACACACTCACATGTCTACACAACACCTAAAATATGTTTACTATCCACCATTAATTATTATCTGTCTTTGCCTAGTTACAGGTCTGTCTGGCCTCTCTGGGTTTCACAAGATAAATGCAGATGACCTGGGCTGAAATCTTATTTTTCAAACCCTTGCCTCTATTGCTCCAGCCCACATGAACTGAATATAAGGAAAGCCATGAACAGAATTATTTATCAATTTCCAGAGACAATATTTTCTTCCTCTTCAATACAACCTTGAAACCTTACTCCAACTTTTTGTACAACCTTTTCCAGACACGTGTTAAATATATGAAATCGTACTTTGTCTATATCTTTATGCGTATTTCAGGCACCCTTTTTTCTTCCACCATCACTTTTCCCCTCAATCCCATCACTTTCATCTGTGACCTCCACTTTTTTCATGCTCATTCATTTAGCTTCTGCATGAAACAACGTGGTTTAATGAAGGTAAGGATCCTGCTCATACACTGAACTTCTTCCATTTAGCAAGCTGTGTCTCTGCTAAGTTAGGTAAGCACAAGAAAGCAGCTTGTGGCTCTCCATGTCTACATATATCATACGTAGTGTCAAAAACGACTCTTTGAATCACCAATCACGACAGATGATTCGGTTGCAGCTCCAAACACAAACATCAATGTCCAAACACACCCAAAAAACAGAATTTCAGCCGTAATTACTTTTAGAATTTCTTTCATCCATTCGAGCACGGAAAATACTTAATTATAATGCAATATATAGGCAAATGGAGTTGCACCTCCCATTATGGGCAGTGTATTCTACACCACATTTACATACATTTGTATGCTTTTACATGCACATCTACGTATCATCCCTGAGACAAATAAAAATAACAAGACCATAATAAAGGCATCTTTCACGAGATGACAAGCCAAATACATATGCATTTTACATCAGCCTCTGATGTACCTCTAAATGATTTTAATGAATACTGAGGAGCTGGGAGACAATAAAGAGAAAATAAGATTGACAGCGCCTTTAAGAAGAAGGAAGCCTTTTTTTTTTTCTGCGTTCGCGAATGCTGACTGTCTGACAGTGACTGTCATTTGTAAAGGAACAATGTTGCCCCATGTTCCAACAGCAAAATGATGATGATGATGAGAAGATGTACTTCAGTGGTTGTCATGGTGGACTTTGAAAACAGCCAAGCCTCACACGGGAGAGGCTAAACACCTCCCTTAGAAATAACAGGTTGGCCAAGACTCTCATGCCCGTGACTGTAACAAACGCACACAATGTGTGCGTCCGCTGGGCTAAATGTCCACACTATCACCAATTAAAAGCGGTGCTCCTCTGTTTGCTAGGCGCTTAGTGAGGCCTTCTTCACATTTGCCCAACAGGAATGGTATTCTGCACCAGGACTGAGCGGGCATTGCATTCATTAGTCACAGAAAGTTTGACGCACAAAAAGAGACCATTCCATTAAGCTGCAGCTGTCTACCTTTGGCTGACAACACAGCCTTGAACCCCCCCACCCCCCCACGCCACCCTACCCACCCACCTTTGCACTGACATCAAACAGAACCTCAAACTTGGTTCCCTAATGCAATGCTATTTTTAACTAAGCGTTTCTAATAAGCTGCTGGGAGGCTGTAAATTTTTCATATGCAAGCACATATTTCCTTTGTGAAAACACAGAAACACACTTATTTGGTGATTAGCGACTGACAGAGGGGAGGAAAGGAACTGAATATGCTTGTATCAAATTGCATGCCTTTCAAAAAGGAGGAATCCTAATGCGAGGAGTCGTCTTCCTGTGCACCACAGGTATGAGTGAATTATTAATCGGCCAGCTCATTTTAATGCTTTTTAAAGTGCTTTATTTTGATGTGCTAAAACATACTTTTAGCCATACTCAGTCAGGCATGCATATCATTATTTCTTCCATCAAAGAGGAGTGTCGCCCTTTCAAAGAGCACAAACAACTCAGCCTCATTTAAAATAGAAGTTCGAATATCAAAGACATTTCACAAAGGCTGGGCTTCAAACAGTGTGATGAAGTTTTTTCCCCAACTCTTTTTTCTGCTGTACTTTATGAAAACTTAGGTATGCAAAAGGTCTGGATTGTTTTCCTGCTTTTAACCTGACTAGTGTAAATCAAAACATCCTACAAGAAGACAAAAAGTCAGACAAGTGAAAAGTATCTATCCAGGCCAGCAACTGTTCGCCGCTATCGTGACCAAAATCTCTTCTATTCAATAAGAGATTTCTTAACTGCCAGCATTGTTTTATTTTTTCAAGGCTGGTGTGCAGAGTAAATTGTGCCTGAAACACAGAGATGAAACTAGGTTTCATTTACACTGCGCAGAATATCACACAAACAGTAAACAATAAATTACAAATATAATAGGATGCATTGATTAAAGTTTCGGGGGCATGCCTAGTTTTAAACTAGCATTGTTTCTCATTTAAAAAGTTTAATTTGCTTACAGACTTCTGCCAACCTGTAGAAAAAGTCTTGTCTGACATCTCGCTCACTCTTTTTATCTTTAGGAAGGGCTTTCAGAATGTGAGACCTGATTTTCAGGATACACTTCCTATATTTAGAAGGCAGCTCAGACTTTTTACAATTACAGAAAATTAGTCTTACTTAATTTGTTTTTTCAGTTAAAGAACAGTCAAAAGTGGAATCACAAATTTTTCAAGAGCCTGAGGAGAGGGTGTCCTTAAATGATCAGTGTCATCGTCTGTGTGTTACAGGGCCGTTCCATGTGCACCCAAACTCATCACACTTTCAGTTAAAACTATTCAAATAATTACAAATTGCTATAAATTATGCTTACTATATATAACGTTATCATGAGCATTATCATTATTATCATTTAAAGAAAAAAATAACATTTGACATGTTTCCTCCAGAATGTGCTCAAAATGAAGTAATTTCATTTTCCTGAAAAGTTTGGAAAAGAGAAAACAAAAAAGCCGCCTGCTTGATCAGAAATTCAGGCCTAAAGCTCCTCCCCAACTCTGAAGCCAGCCCCCTGCTGTGGTGTCACCACCTACACCTGTCATTAAAGAGGCACACAGAGACACCCGTCCTGATCTGATCCAATGGAACAAAAGTTGGTGTTGTCTGTGTCCTTTTTTGTGTGCAACAAAGTTGAGAGGGTGTGTGTGCGCAGGGTGCATTTACACATACAGGCCCTGCTCACACGGAGAGCAAAAACAAACCTGAAGTTACCTGAGCACATTCCCTAAACTGACAGTAACACTTACTTAAGGTTGAACACCTGAAACTAGCAGGACGAAAGCATTAAATTTGAAAACTAGATCAGAGAGTGTAAACATAGTGTCTTCAATGCTTCTAATGTATTTAATCAGAAATATGTTTAATCCATCAAACAAAAGGGATGTTGTTCAGCATAATTTAGGTAAAAGGCCAAAGAGGACCTGTGAATAGTGTCCCATGAATGGGTGTGTGTGTAAATATTGGCCTTACCTGTCCCTTTGGTGAGATCCTTCTCCCCCCCACTTTCTCTGTCTTTGGTTTGGTCCTCCTGGTCTGTGGTGGTCTCACTGGCAGCCTCCACATCCTCGCTCAGCTCTCCTGAAGGGGGAGGGAGAAAGGGATATGTAAATCACCATGCCATCAGAATTGGTGGAAGCACTTAAAGGGACGGCAGCGTTTTTTCTATAGGAGCTTGCAACAATTACATTTGCTGACACACAGTTGCAAGGCTAGCAGACAAAGGGGGCAGAATCTGCTTTCTGCTCTGCCCTGTGCTGTCGGATCATCACTGGAAAATTTATTAGGACTTACATTTTTAAGTCAGAGAGGAAACATTAAGAAATAAGAGCGCAAATATTTTTTCTTCTTATTGTTATTATTTCTCTGCTTATTATAGATTTAAACCTGTGGGGGGAGAAAAGCACAGATGCTGCCTGAAGATGGCATGTGGAAAAATAATTGTGTGAGCAGCATCCTTTAAGAGAAAGACCTTATATCAGACCCAATTCTCTCACTCACACAACACGCAGACACACACACTTTACTGTCCCCTGCTGCAGTCTGCTAGATTACTTACCACTACAAACCCTATTTCACTTAAGTTACCTAGAATGGGCTAAAAAAAAATCATAAATATTTCAAACTTTCAGAGCCACAATTCATTTTATTTCTAAGTCAAGTCATAGGAAGAAATCCCCTGTAACCACCTTAAAAGCCTCAGCTCGATATATCAGGCCATTTAGGAGCATCGAAGTCCAAACAATGGATATCCAATAACGCCATTTGTAAGTAACACACAGAGGAAAAGATAGCAAAAACAGATAATAAAAAGGGCATCAATCTTGTTTATATCCCTCCAGTGCCCCCTGAACATCCCCTTTGCCTGTTAAGTTTGTTTAAAAGTAGTGGGACTTGCATGCAATAGCATTGATTTGACAACAGTAAACTAGGCCGCAGTCAATAGGCTCTATCAGTTATTACACAAGTCAGCTAATTCTCGGCAAATGTACTTAAATGCTCTTTTGAAAATGCTTTCATGCTTTGGTCTCTACTCTATGAGCTATTGATATATTGACAAAGCTACAACAGCTACTGAAATATCCTGTTCAAGTATTCAGCCCTGCAGTCATCACACATCCAATCTTAGCTCGCCCCATGACAGGCCAGAGCCAAAACCACTTTTATGATGTCACCTTATACCACATCACACAATGTTCATCCTTTAGGTTGTGAAATAGTGTCAGTAGCATAGTGAAACGATATATCAGAAGTATCAATAAATATCTTACAAATAAAAAACAAATCAGAATCAAACTGATCTGTTACTGTTTTTTTTAATTAAGAATTTTTCTAAATGAAAAATACATTCACCGTCATTTTTATTCAATTATTTGACATGTCATTTAGTGTATTTAACAGGCTCAAACAAATACAAGTGTAAACGTTGAAGAACATCTATGGCACAGTCTGAAATTTTGCGTGTTTGAAATAGTGTGATTTTAGGCTACAACTAATTAAGGTTACACTACAGCAGCAAAAATATTACTACTATACAGGAACTATTTAGGATGGCTTTGCAAAGGAAAAATTATGGCTATTTTCAGTCAGAACCCTCCATTTCCTTGTCAGATGGAGCTGCAATAGGAAACATCTGCCTGAACAGAATAATAGTTTCATGGGTTTGTGATACACATTAATGCGAAAAAAGCCAATCAGATGATTCGGATCTTAAATAAAGACATTCAAAAGGAAAGAAAGGCTCCTACTGGAAAGTTTATTTTCATGTTCCTTACATCCCGCATGCGATCATATTTTATTATTTTATTTCCAACCATGTTTCTATTATGTTTCCAAGGAAACCTCTGAATTCCATCCAGTGCAGCCCATCCCAGGCTGGTGAAGCAGATCCAAAACATTCCCAGAAAAAAAACAGATCTGCTGCAGTCTCAAAATCCATCGAGCTCCTGCTTGCATAAATCTTCCCAACTGTGTGAGGCTTAAGATTCTGTACAGCTGTACAGGTGCTCAGATTACAAAATAATCCGCAGGTACATTTTTTTCGCCTTTAAAATCAGGCCATGGTGTCAATTCTTAGCCATGTGACACACGCACTGAGACTAATTCCCCACCTACACATGAATACACACTTTGCGCTTAAAATACTGTGATAGGCAGCCAACATTCTAAAGCTACTCAGCTTCCTTGTTCCCACCCCCAAGATCTGGCACCCACAGACACACACACACACACACACTTGTGCGCTCATAGTTTTTTCCTTGTGTTGTCTATACATCTTTATTGAGATGTTTATTCAACATGTATGACAATTTTAGCACACACAACACAGATTTTCATGCATAATTTATGCAGAGAGGCAGACATATAATTCCAGGAGCACTGTTACATCTTTAAGTGGCAAATTTCCCCATTTCTCATCTCATCTACAACTGCATTACAGAATGATTAAAGCTGGGCTGACTATAATTAATGAAAGGTCACGAGTGGCCTAAGAGTAGAATGCAAATGGAAGAGACACTAAAACTGTAGCCGTAGATTAACTCTGAAAATAGATTAGGAGAAACACTCAAAGCTATGGCAGCAGGCCATTTCTAACCTAAATCTGAAAGATGTAAAGGACAATAGCCTGAAGGTTGTCTTCTAATTAATTGTCTTCATTAACCATCCTAATACAATGATATGAAACAGTTCCATTAATCTAATCATGCAAGCTGAATAAACCCATTGCTGACACAGAGATTAAACTCATCTGTTCTGAGCGTATAAATATCAGCTCTGCTCTGCCAGTCACTCAGTGGGGACCGTCACTGGGCTCCCCCAGACAGACACGCATACACTCATCCACCGTGGATTGGCTTAGCTGCCTTCCCCCGTGTGAGCTTTGCCAGTGAGTGCAGGGGCTTGATCAGACCCATAGGTGTCACTCTATACAAGCTGGGAGAGAGCGGCTGGCTCACAGACATTAATGAAGCGAAGGGGGAAGGGGCTGAGGAGCATCAGACAGAAACACACGGGGAAGAGGAAAAGGAAAGAAATATGTGGAGATGACAAAAGCAGATGCTATGCAAGTGCCGTCCAGTGAAGATGAGATACTGAAAATGGCAAAATTACCTTCAGATGAGAGAGGGCAGTCTTCCTTTCCCCTGAAGAGCAGTGATTACACTAATGCTAATCAGACTGACAAGCACAAACGGCCTAATAAATAATTGATGGTAACCACTGCACTTTCCAGTATTCCTTCCCAGACTGTAGAGAAGAGCAGCAGCAAGTATGATAGTCACTCTAAGATATCTTTCACTGGGTCAGGCTCCTCCTCCATCCTCAGCCCTCATATACTGCTATGATGGTAACTGGATTTTTTAAAATGCAGAATTCCAGGACTACCTGGGAATGGCTCCTGTATGGCTACCAGTCTGCTCTTTTCTGTTGCATGCACGCCATCTGAGTGAACCACGCTGCTCACGAGCTCGCCTCCCGCACACGCTGGAGGACCATCGCAGGGGATGAGTCGTGTTTCTGCCTCTCCAAGTTCTGGGAGTGAGGGCTGAGCTCTGCTTCTCTCCGGAGCTGTTTTGAGCAGCTCTGTGTCTAAGCTCTCATTACTCTCATTATCATTACTGAGGCTGTTGTTATCATTTTTAACCGGGTGTCAGGGCCGCGCCGTAAATCGGAGAGGTGTGCTGCCCCCTTGCTTTATCCACGACCGGACAGCTTCCTTTGCTTTGGCGCTGCGCTGTCGGATAAAAAGCAATCTTATTTCACACTTCACAGACTCCATCTTTCTCCCCTACTTCTTCTTTAAAACCTCCCCTCTTCCTCCCCAGTCATCCATTGCACCCCTTTCCTTGTATCAGAGTTGATCTGACTCTGGACTAGAGGGTGCAAAATGAAAGTGACAGGAGGGTACCATGGGACAATGAGACACAGGACCCATGCTGGGGGCTTGCAGGCATTGTCCGCTCCTCATATCAGAAACTCTGCACCCTAAACACAAGACCCCCATTTTAAAAGCACAACAGGAAAAAACACTCCCAGTGCTCATCAAGCCGCCCCCAATACCCCAACGCACATGCTCACAGAACCTGTGTCCTCACATCCTGACAAGCTACACATCATAAAACCGCAACTGAACAAAACCTGCCCACAACTTGGCCATCGACACGATGGGCCTTTGCTTTTGAAGCAATCATCCTATAAACCACAACATGGTGTTAGGACAGACAGTAATGACCAATGTGCCACAACACGGGACGCCCGTTCAAAACGGAATCAATTATCACACTTAAGATAACGAGTCCTACTAATGGGAACGAAGATGTAAATCCATTCAATTACAGACTTTTTGTTTTTAACAGAATATGTTTAAAAATCCAAGCAATCATATTATGTCAAACAAATTTAATTGTAGAGAGACACACAACCCAAGTGCTGCAAAGTCAGAGAATGCACCAGACCTGACATGCACACAAAAAGAAAGCCTATTTGTCTCTGAACTCTTCCTTCTCGCACATGCCCTCACTCCCTCCCTCCCACACACTTTCACATTTCCAAAGGAAAAAAAAAAAGAGTAAACTACCTCAGCTCTGCTGGTCGGAGTTACATGTTAGATTCCTGACCTGTCTACGGGGGGACTCTGGCCTCTCCCTGCTGGCCCTGCTGTGACCTCGGGATCTAAATGTGAATGAATACTTTGTGTCTTCATGGGGCCGAGGGCAGGACGAACAGGGGTAGCGGAGGAGGAGGTCCAGTGAGCAAAGGGATAGGACAGCTAATGACTGAAAAAAAAAAACTTTAAACAGCAAGTTAATCACAAACAGCAGTGATAGCTCATACTGCTTTTAAACCAGCAGCCCCTCCTCCACCACTCCCCCAGCACTGACTGTGTACCACACTAGCCCATAGGGCCTCTGTGCCACACTTAATTTGATCCCACTTGAATTTCAAAGTCAATGTGACCATTTTAAAAGATGTTCACTAAAAAAAAAAAAGGAAAAAAAAAGAAAATCACACTTAAAACGGCTCATCTAAAAAACTTCTCACGCTTTAGAAACTTAGTCAATTAGAAAAGACTATTGAGGACCATCAAATGTATTAAATATTTTCCCTAATGTGTTACCTCGTGGGAAATCATACTAATTAGAAATACTTTTCATGATAATGGCATGTTTAGATACATTACAAATAAAGTGGATAGAGTGAGTGCTGCTCTAGTTATTCTCTCTTTGTGTTTTCCTTGAGTGATGAAGGAGAGGAGGATCTAGGTTAATGTGGCTACACAGGGACTGAGCATTCAGGGACTGCTCACTCTTCTGCCCCATCTGACAAACACACACACATACACACACACACACAAAACACTGACTTCCTTGAATGCCCAAGACGATGGCTGCTAACTAACTCATATTAGGTCCACAATGGAAGATGCAGGCTGTACTTTTCCCTGCTAGGATGGTGGGCTAAAAGCCTGGATAGGGGGCAAAAGCGTCACTGGGCAGTGCTCTCCCATCTACTCTGCCTGAGGGATATTGTTCAGGACAAAGAGCCTCTCTGCGTCTCTGCCACTGTCCCCACCCCCCACCCTGTATTTATGCTTATCATTCTCCACTGCTGCCTCCTCTTAAATAAACCTCTTTTTATTAATGCATCTTTTTCTTTTTTGTCAAACTCAAACTACAATGCCTTCACCTATTTTCCGCTATTCAGAGAACCCAAACAGAGTCGGGGTGGGAGTGAGGGGACGGCTGAGGGGGTTTAAAAAAAAAAAAAAAAAAGGGCGAAAAAGCATCACCGCTGTCATGAAGGGCAATCACATCAACTCTGAAATATTCACCAGTGGGTTGGAAAATGCGATGGTACAGTTATGACAGGCGAACAGGCAACCCCCCCCCCCCCCCCCCACTGCCCCATCCCCTCCCCTCTCAGTCAACAGTCCCCCGCCCGTCTCCATCAGGGCAGAAGCACGGTGGACACTCTGAATATGTATAACCCGGAAAATGTATTGATTTTTCATTTGGCAAAAAGGGACACAAAAATCACATAACCTGAAACTGTCACAGCTCTTTTGTTCATAGCTCATCTCTCCTGATGTTTGGCTTTTGCCACAAACTCTCTTTAATTACCAGGTACAGCGAGCTTCAGAGCCTTTCTCCGCAGAGACGCAGCCACATACAGCCTGCTGGGCTTAACAAGACAGTCCACATCTATTATATATGACATACACCCAGCAGCTTTTGTTTCATATCTAACTAATAAGTTCACTTAATACGAATATGCCCAGGTCCTTTACAAAAAAGAAAAGAAAAACTACACAAGATTGAGAGCAAAAAGCTTTCTTGGAGGAAACCTTGAAAATTAAAAATACAGCGTTGCACATTAAAACAGTATTTTTGTATTAAAAGCTAATGCTGGATGGATCCAGCGCTTATTTGATGTTCATATGTTGAAGTACTTCTGCTTAACATGAAATTCTCCTATTGATCCAAGTTTTCCCAGGTAACAGTCCTACGGCGCATGCTTGTGTATGTCTATGTCCATTAACAGGTACTTATCTGTTTATCTCTCCTTTTAGGCACCGCGGACCAGTACAGTGAACTGTCTGAAAAAGATCTCTGTCTGTCGATTTATCGAATGTACCATTTGCATATCTTTGTAGTGCTTCCATCTGCCTGTGGACTGTTCTGTGGAGGTATTAGCTTGAAAAATCAATGTTGCCATGGTTGGATGTATGTAGCCTCTACCTCTGCGCGTGCTAGGAGTCCGGCTCATAGATCCCACACGAGCCATATTTACATGAGTCCTGCCGGCAGAGGCTTTCCACCCAGTTCTTCAATCTTTGTAAACTTAGCGTACACAAACACATTTCTCAGCATGCCCCTCAAGAGTAGGCTGGTTTGCCATCCTCCTCTATGGCCATGCAGCCTCCCCGTTTCCATCCAAAGCCTTGAGCTTGACTGTCTGTTTGTTTATGAAAGCGTACTAAGAGATAAAACAGAATTCTACAAGGTTATGAATACCAATCTCACTAATCAATTTTATGAAAAATATAGGCTAGAATTGATGTGTGTTTGCTCTCAAAGGTCGAGCGGCCTGCGAAGTTCAGATGTTTTAGTGTAGTATAGAGGAAAGGTGGAGGGTAGTGTGCAAGTGTATTATCTTACTTGGTAATATCTTACACTTATTTCTATTTATTACATCATAGATCTATACATTTATGAATAGAGACTGTGTCTTCCTATGGATATATGTTTTTAAAGAGACTTTTGTAGATACACGTAACTTTTCTTCAAACTACCACCTAGCTGGTTGCTCATAGCTAATTGGTAAAGAAATCCAATGATTACACTGCACAGGCACTTTAAAACATCTATGAGAGTGCAACCACTTATTGGAAAAAAAGCTCTCCCTACCTCCATCCATTCACTTTCGAATACAAATCAAACATGGGGAGCTTTCTTTCACCATTTGTCTTTCTTTCTGTTCCTCTTTGCATAGCCCATCCATTACTTTCACATGAAATATGAAAAGGCAATATCCTCTCTGTGTTTGTACTGAAGCGTAATGCGATTGTGTTGTCATTTATAGGAAATAATCACAAACCTCTCTTTCATTTTCCAGTTCAAATAACCATGAAAAATTAGCCTTCAATGTCAGAGAGGACAACAAAGGGATGCACACAGAATATTGCTTTACCACTGCGCTTGACATTTCTCCTTAATAGGAAAACGGGTGGTTGTTTCTATCTTTCTTTTTCAATCTTTTCCTTTTTCTAACCTCATTTTGTCCTCCTTAATTAAAAAGTTCTGCACTCAGATCTTTGCAAATCTTTGCTGTGGTGGGTCTCTGTGTTAGAAAGAGCTGGAAGGTTAGAAAAATCTGGACCAATGCACACGCTGCACCCCGCTCATTAGCACCCCTACCCCTTTTTGTTAATGGCTGCTGTTGAAGGGAGATGTCGCCAGACAACCACTACGGGGCCTAGGTCGCCGTGACTACCGTCCAGCAGCCTGATAGATAAATAATTCAAGAGCTATCAGACTCCCTGGCAGCTGAGCAGTCCCAAAAACACACTCAGGGCTCAGCTTGGGAAGGCCTCCCTAACTGATCAGCATTTAGCCTTTACAAATGTTGTACATCTCCGTGTCTGCACAGGACCCCTCACAATTAGCCTGAGCTGGAATCTGAGAATCGTTTTAATTCGGGGAAATCTTTATATTTCTCTGTAAGTGGTGAGGTAATGGTAATTGCTTTCTATATTACTTCCATTAAACGCTTAATAGTCGGGTTGTTTACCACTGTAATTATAAACAAAATAGTCAACCAATTTTATAACGTGGTTATAGAAAATGCATATAAACAAGTGTATGTTTTGCCTGTAACAATAAAAAAAAGTACACAGTGGAAATCAACAATGACATGAAATATAGATGTGCAGAAATAATAGAAACTGTATTTGATCAAAAGTATGATAATAAATTACTTCTATTGATAGTTGGTAAAAGTTTCATGTGCTCGTGCATTTTTGCAGATATAATGTGCGACCATTTTAATGAGGTTACAAACAGAAACTACTTGGAAAGTAAT